CCCCCCAACTCCCCAACCTCGCCCTCCCTCAGGCCCTGCACCTGCTGCCCGGGGAAATCCTGATGGCGGGCTCTGAGCCGGCCCTCCACCGCTACCGGTTCTCATTGGAAACGCTTGCCTCGAAAGTGGACGTCACCTGCGACAGCGCGTTCGCGCTGGACGTGCACGGCGGCAGCGGCACGGTCGCGGTGGCGGGCGCGGGCGGCGCCGTGCTGCTGTCGCACTACGGGACGCGCGTGGGGCGCATCGTGTGAAGGGGGGAGGCGCCGCGCGCGGCCTGCTGGTCTCCACGGCCCGGGCGGCGGGCGGGCGGGCGCGAGAGGGCGCGGTGGCGGCCGCTGGCCTTGTCCACTCTGGTTTGAGCTCAAGGCTGATGCGTCCAAGCTGCCGCGGTTCATGATCAGATGCGGCGGCAATGTCACGCAGGCTGCGCAAGCAGCAGGCGGCGTGTGGCTGTGTAACACCCATATACAAGCCCTGTGCGGGGGTCACGGGCGCCCAGCCGCCCCGCCACCCCCCTTCGCCGCCCCCAACAGCCCAGCCGCGGCTGCGTGTACTGTGCCGTAGTGCCTCCCTGACACTCTGCACGGCATGCGTCCCTCCCAATGCGATACAGGCTGCCCTTGGAGACAAAACCCTGCTCTGCCAATCCCTTGCATGGCGCAGCCAGCACCAGTTACTGCTCAATTGGGAGGTGCAGGCGCACACAAAGTGCAAGGAATGGCCTCGCGCGGGAAAGATACTGTAGACAACAGAGACTGAGACACGAGACGGTCATAATGGAAAAGGAAACACGTCCATCAAAACGCAGGTTCAGCACGGCGGCAAATCACCATTCGAGGCTGCCGCAGGGGCCCTAGCCACGTCAGCAGTCTATAGCGCGCATGCGTGTCTGAGCGTGGTCCCTGCATCTCCAGCCATGGCAGTGGCAAGCGGCGCAGCCTGCCGCTTGCAGGGGAGTGCACACGCATGCGCCGCTGGCGCGGACGCAAACATAGAGACGGCCCCACCGTTGCAGCGCGGGCTGCAGCGTGACTGCTCCACCAGCTCCGCGCCCCCCCCCCAGAAAGCCGCGTCGCGCATGTGCATGCGCACCGCATGCGCGCCGCATGCAGGCCACATGCAATCAGCCGCGGTACCCCTCCGGCGGCGTCTCGTACAGCGCATGCCGCGTCAGTGGGAACGGCTCCAGGTCCTCCTGCGCCGCCGCCAGCCTCAGCGCCGGCGGCAGCGCGGCCAGCGCGGCCTGCTTGAGCCGCAGCTTGTCGAGCATGCCTGCGCGCCACGCCTTGTGCTCCGCCATTTTTCGGCTCGAGTACGCCTTGGCGTGCGCCTGGTTGGCGGCGAGCGCTTCGGGCGCCTCGGCGGGCGCGCTGCGGTCCTGAGGGACCAGCATGGTCAGCACGCGCTGCAGCAGGGGGTCCTTCTCGTCCATCTTCTTGACTTCAATCCTCGCCTTGGGCTTCTTTTTTGGGGCGGCTGCGCCCTTGCCCTTGGCGCCGCCTTTCTGCTTGCCCGTGGCCTTGGCCGCCGCGTAAGCACGGAGCTGCTGCTGCTGCTGCTGGTAGTGGTGGTGGTGGTCGCTGCTATGGTTCTGGGACAAGCAGGGACGCCGCTGCCAGGGCAGCATGAGTGCGCCGACGACGGCCGAGGCTGCGTGCTGCAGTGGTGCCGACGCTCCTGCCGGCGCAAACGGCGCCGCTGCTTGTGCCATGCCCAACAATGATCCCGCTAACCGCGACAACATGCTATGCGGAACCTAAGGTCGGTTGCCTGACTTTCCTGCCAGCGCTTGCTGAAAAGATCTGGGTGAATGAGTCGAAATCCTTGCTTGATGCGCAATTATAACTTTGGGGACCGCAACATTCACTTTTCGCAAGCTGGGGAGAGCGTCGTCGTGATCTTTGAACGGTCACCAGGTGCAATTCAGCTCGAAGAAGGGGTGTAGACTATCATACCAGTACCATTGCTAGACAGTTTTCGTGTCAAATAATATGTTCACAACGCCATCCAGAAGCCATTGCATCAAATCAGGGCTGTCAGAGCCTGCGCGTGTGAATTAGCGGCCATCTTAGCCACTTGAGGCAGTCTGAGAACGATCACGAGTTTCAAAGCAATGTCGCAGCTTGCAGGGCGGCGCGCCAGCGCCGCTGAGCCACGCCGCTCTTGCTGGACCCAACCACGCGCTGTGCGTGCTGCTCGCGCCGCACGCACGCGCCTGGTGGCGGTCCGCGCGGAGCAAGCAAACACAAGCATAACAGCGCAGCTCAAGGCCGCCACCCGCCCGGTCCGCGCAGCCGCCAAGCAGCTGCTCGAGCGGCGCGGCGGCGCCCCTGCGGACGACACCGACGCAGCGCGCCCGCCGCCGGCGGCGGAGCGCCTGCAGGCGTCCTTCGCCCGCCCACAAACCGTTGCCCTCTCCGCCGCCGCCTTTGCCACCGTCGCCGCCGGCGTGTTCGGCCCGGCGCCGATCCTGCTGCCTATCGATGCGGCGGCGCACGCCTTTGTCGCCGCATCGACGACGCCCGAGTGGCGCCTCCAGATCGGCGAGCGCGTGATCTCGGACGTCCCGATCTACCTCGGCCTCGCCGCCTGGCCCGTCCTCGCCACCGTCGCCGCCGCCGCGCCGCAGTCGCTGCGGCGCCGCGGCGCGGCGCTCGCTTCGCTCGGCGCGTCCTGGGCGCTCTTTGTGGCGGGCGCGGGGGCGGTGTTGCAGAATGACCCCCCTCTCGTCAGCTTCCTGAAGCACGCGTTTGCCAGGGCCCGGCCCAGCAACGAGATCCACCACTCCTTCTCGTTCCCAAGCGGCCACACCACCGCGGCCGTCTTCATATCCGGCGCCGCGCTGCTGGTTCTGCTCCCCCTCGCGCGGCGGCGGCTCGGCGCCGGCGCCGGCGCCAGCGGCGGCAGCGGGCGCCTGCCGGACGCCGTCGCGCTGCCGGCGTGGGGCGC